GTTTGTTAATCATTTTTTATACTTTTAGTTGGATACTGTGAATGCTGAATGTTTTATTAAAATACTATCACGAGAATATTGCTCTGATCACGAATGTACTTGCGTATCATAGATTTTTATTTATTTACAATACAAATTTGAATACAAATTTTGATTTTTTAATTTTTGATAAATTGTTGTTTAAGATCTAGATGCATTTTGTATGATATTTATATAAAGACAATTAATTATAGGAATTCCTCACTTTTTGAAATTTTGCATGTTATGTTTTTTATAAAATCAAGATATCTTATTTAAGCAAAACTTAACTGTATTTAAATACATATGTCATTAATTAAAAAAAAAAAAATATAAACTAAAATATCAAATTTATAATTTAATTACTTTAATTTTTAGTTAATATTATAAGTATTATTAGTGCACTAACAGTAAGTTATGAAAATGAATGAAGATTTAAAAAATTTAATTTTTTTTATTTTAATAACAAACACTATTTTTGTATTTTAAACAATTTATAATTATATTAAGTAACAATTTATCATTTCAAGTTTTTTTTTTTAATTAATTTAAATTTATTGAATATGCCAAATAGCAATTAAATTTACATTTTTCAATAAAACTTTCTAATAATGGTAATTATTTTTTAAAAACATGTTATTACTGTACAACAATTGCTTATGATTTGCACAAGAATTTAAAAATAAAACTTGAAAAATATCATATTTTGGATTATTGACATTTAGAAATGTTAAATAAGAAAAATAAATTATTGAATAACATTTTCTTTTGTTAAAGTTTAGAATGTTGACAGCAAAAATTTTAATAATATGTTAAAAAATATAACTATGTTTGTATGTAGGTATAAGAAGAAATTAGGCGGACACATATTGATGAGTTGAAATTAAGTAGAACAAAATAATTTATTTATAAGTAAAAAAATATACTTAGTAAATAATGCGAACACAATACCTCATCATCAGATCTTGTGAAACCATAAATTAAAATGGCAATCACAACAGCAATTAACACCCCCACAATTGTATAGTAAACGACACGTTTTGTGGTCATTTTTGTTATATTTTTTGCATTAATTTTTACACCTTAAGTGTATCTCTTTATGATTCTCTCAATATTGAAAATATTATTTAACTAAAATAGCACCTTAATTCAGAAAATTTTCACATTTACATAATAAATAATTACAAATTATATTTTAATATTTTAATTTATTTTTTATATAAATCACTTTTTTTTTTTAAATTTAAAATTACACTTTTCTTGTAAATTAATGTTAAATAATTGATGATGAATTAATTCGAACTACATTTATCTAAAAATTTTCTAATTAATATTATTTAGCACACTAATCTACAAAAATCTGCTTTACGATTGCCTTGTATTTTAAAGACTAAAAAATTAGATAAAAAATAATTTGCTCATTGCTCAAGTAATATAAAAAACTAAAAGTAAAATAATTATTATGTATATGTAGGTATGTACGTATGTGTATTTTTTTTCGTCTCAAAAAGAAAATATCGTAGTTGTAAATTGTTAGAGAAACATTATTTAAATTCGAATGTTCGTAATTAAATTGCTTAAACTAAAAAGTGATTCCACTATACTTGAAAAGTAATATTTAAAAAAAAAAAGATAATATAAGAAAAATGTACAAAATAATAAATCACAATAATTAATAAGTATAAAGAAGAAAATAATTGTAATTCTTATAATCTTAAGTGCTAATATTTAAGTTGAATTGATAAATATAAACCCAAAGTTTTTCGCCTGTATAAATTTTTTAATAAAAGGTTAATGACAATTTTGAAGATTTCATATTATGTTAAATATAATTAAAATTGTTAATATTTTGTATATTTAAGAAAATTTATAGTGAATAAGAAGATAAGTAAATATTAAGTCGAAATTATCGTCTCTATGAGTAATATTTTAATTATTATCTTCTGATTTTGAATCAATGAAAATAATTAGCACTTTTTAAATTAAATTGATATTGTTAATTTAAGTAAATGCTCTTATTTATAACTAATATATGGAGTAATATAGTGTTTAATATTTTAATTTCAGCTTTAATTTCATATGGTAAATCTATAAGTGAAAAAGAAGCAGTTTATAAGCATTCAAGTTATAAATTGCAAATTATGTTTGAAATTTTATAAATAAAACAATGTATAAAGGCTTATATCATACGAATTAATAGATTACTTAATGAAATAAAAATTAAGTATTAAATAGTTCATTTAAAATAATCTAAGAAATCAGAATATATCGATTAAGTTGAAAAATATATTAATTGTTGTAGTTTACTTACTATTTAATAATATTTTTCACTTAAAACGAATGATAGTGATTCTTAATTTTATAGGAGTGCAATATTATAAACGGAAAACAAAATTTATGTTACTGTTAATACGTTCGTTGTTTTTAATCTTAAAAAAAACTGCTTAAAAAAAGCTCTTTATTCCTTTTGTTGTTTTTTATTTTTTAGTTTTATTTTTATCGAATTTCTATTATTATTAACTACACATACGTATTGTCTAATGTCTACTATACAAGGTACTTAAAAATTAAGAAGAGAAAATAAAATTATTGAAAATATCAAAAGAATGTCATCATTGGGCGGAGTACGTCATATTAGATGGCTATTATTCTTAAATTTCAAAGGTGATTGAAATAATTTTTTATTGTAAAAGTTATATATATCTTCATATAGTATTTTTATTATGAATTCTGGAAGTTAAGTGCATAATTAAAGCCCTCGTTAGTGTTTTAAAATAGAATTACAATATTTACAATCAAATGACTTTAGTATTTAAAATACAAGTCAAATTCTCATTATAAATTTTTACCATTGCTACTAAACTAATTCAATAACTAAAGTATAAATACGAAATTTTTATTTTTTTTTTATATCTATAAATTTTTATAAAAAAGGCCCTATTTTGAAATCACTAAATAAATTGTGAAAGATGTATATGTATTCTGATTTCAATATAAGCTATGGAGTATTAATAAGTCTCCTGACACCTAAAACACTAATAATTATTAAAACTAAATTATAACATTAAACATTGTCTTCGTCTTCAAGTATTATTACAATTCGGTGCATATTTTTAGCGAGCTCCGCTTTATATTTAATGTGTTGAAAATTCTAATGATATATTGATTATTTTTCAGATTACTTCACATATTTACCTATTTCTCCCTCATTGAAACAAATACGCGAAATGTTCTTTTTTATAAAACTATGCATTTGTACAGAATTGTATTGTTATACACACCCTTCCGTATGTATAGAATTATAGATAATGTTTTGTTTGTCACTATTACCTAATTATATTTAAATTTTTTTTTTGTAGATTTTGTTTTTGAGAAGAAAAGATAACGTTGTGGATTTTATAGCTGTAATCTTTTGTCTTTATGAAGAATTTATTTATGGATGGTGTCTAGATAAGAGATGCAGTAGTTCCTGATGGTAAAAATATTTCATCTGCTTAATATAAAAGTGTTTTTGCTATTTTAAAATATGTAATTGAAATTGAAAGTTTCTGATTAGTCTTGTTATATTGAATGATATGCTCAAAATTAAAGAAGTTTCTAGGAAAACAACAAATTTCATTAATGCGCTATAAGATTGTTATAATTTTTTTATTTTTTTCTATAATGATTTTTATTGTTAGAAATTTTAAATGATATTTTAGAAAAACAGTTTCTGTATTAATATCAAGATCAATATTTCTATATAAAAAGAAATTTTAATTGTCAGGGATGAAATATTTCGTAAAACCAAAATATATTATTCACTCAAAATTAATTTTTCTCAACAAATTCAAGTCATTAAAACTAATTTAAAAAAATTTCATACATTTAGGAGTTGAACACATTGTTATTCTCCAATATTCATTATTTTTTATTTAGACATTTACTACATTATTATTATTGTTTCTCTTTCTCTCAACATTGATCTTTTAAAGAGAATTTCTTTAAAAAAAAATCTCTTAAATTTACGTTTCTTTATAAAATCAGAAGCAAAAATAAAAAAAAAGCAAACAAGAATATTTTGAGAATTTTAAACCTTGAAAATAGAAAATTATTCATTCCCATTGCAACTAACATACATTCAACTACACTTACCTTAAAAACGCCAATGTAAAGCAGTAAACTGGCCCATATTGATATCATTACAAAAAGGATTGAGCAAATACATCTTTGAAACGGCATTGCGTAATAATAATATTTTTGATTTCCGTATTAATATTTTAAGAAACTGTTTAAATAAAATAAATATTGCAAAAAAGAAAAATAAAATTTTTTTGTTATTACGGAACTAAAAGAAATGTACACAATTGAAAAGAAATTTATTGTTGAACTGCTGCATAAAGAGATCAGAGTAATTTTATTTTTTAATTTATTTTTGTCCTCGAAATTTTCAAATGTATAAGAATTAAGAGATTTTGAAAAAAAAGCTTTTTTTTTGTTTTATTTTTATTTTAATTATGTATTTTATTGTAATCTAAATTTATAAATTTAGAACGGTTAAATGTTTTCGAGTATTTATGACTGATGACCGCTTTTTTGTTCACAAAATTGGGTCTAAAGTTCATTGCCCTTAAGATTTGGGGCTAATTTATGAGGTTCTAAAATTTAGAAAAAATACTAACTAATTAATCAACGCTATTTATATGTCACTATTGAATTTTTTTTATAAATTAGTGATCTCATTATACATATAATTAGGGTACATCCAAAAATTAGCTTACACCTTAGGTTAATTCATTTAACATTTGACACTTTCAAAATAGATAGTGAGAATTTGAAAGTTGTAGTAACAGGATATAAGTAATTACAATATTAATAATTTTTTTTTAATTTTTTACAACATTAATAAATCTACAATATTAATAAACTTTATTTTAGGAGAATGTTATTTCCTCCAATAATACATTTGGAACGTATAATAAGAAAATTCATATGAAATATACTTCTGCAAAACATAATTGCATCCTGATTGTATGCAATTTTTCTTCAACAAGAAATCTCTTTTATCTAGTATATTTTCTACAATAGCGATTGTCTTGCAAGTAATTGTGCTGTGATACAAATTATAAATTCAATTAGAAAGTTAGCTTTAAGTTAGAATAGGAAATATGAGTTATTTAGTATTATTAAAGTGAAGTAAATCTGATTCAGCAACATGTAGAATAAGATTTATTTGGATTCTACGTCATAATCACATGACTCTAATATATGCATGTGTTATAATTATTAATATTATTCAATTGTACTTACAAGATTTGAAATTTACTTAAGTATTATTTAAGTGCATACATTTAATACACTCTAAAATGAGTTAAATTTATTGATACATAAATAATTAAATAAATGAGATGAATTAATAATCTATTTTTTAATGACTCTTAATTATGACAAAGATTTTTAGAGCTTTGAAATAACTTTAAAATGCATTCAATCAGGTGTTAAATAAAATATGTATTAAATATTGCATATAACTAAATATTTTAATAAATTGTTTTCACTAATATTTGCATTTCATTATCTATATTTAATTAATATGTTGAATAATGAAAACTAATTCAATCAGATAATTATTAATAATATTTAAAATCAATAGTAATGTTTATGTAATATTAAGATAATTTTATCCGCAGCATTTTGTTTATGAATTAATTTAATTTAAATTAATAAATAGAAGCAGAATTTAATTCTATAACTACCAGTTAGATTTTATATTGCTAGATATATTTTAAACGTTTGCAGTCAGTGCAATCAACAAATGAAAAACTCATTTTTGAAACAAAACTTTATTTTTTAAATATAATGCAAAATGTACGATTAAAATGTGATGTAATTATGTAATTATATATTGAAGAAAGGTGAATTTCTTGCGGAAAAGTCTTTTAAGTTTCAGTGTATGTATGTATAACGTATGTTGACGTAATTTTTATACATTTATGTATGTAATTTAAACTTTCAATTTGTACATTTCCAATCCTTTAGTGCCCAAGCCTGTAATTTTAAAAGTTTGACCTGCAGGAGCTGGTTTGTCGTTTATACGGGCACTTGTTACATAAAGTATATCCAAATTTGGGCCACCGAAAGCGACAGAAGTTATTTGTTCACACGGCATAATGATTTCTTGCTCAATTTTCCCATTACTAAAATATAAAAAATTTTTTATGTTTAATAATTGTCTTACTCTATTTTATTCGATTTGGTAATATTACTTAGGATTAACTTTTAAAACTTTTGATCCACCAAAAGAAGCAACAAATAAAAATCCATCTTTATCAATAGTCATACCATCAGGTACAAAACCAGGATTGGAACCATTGACACGGAAATCTGCAATCACTTTTGGATGAGCTTTGGAATAGAAAAATAGAAATCTTAATATTTCAAAATGAATTCATAATAAAAAAGTATGTTGTATTATTTTTTTTTAATTTTTAAGCTTACAAATTTCTCCAGTTTTTGGATCATAATCATATTCCTTAATTTCCAGATCAGGCGAATCAATATAATAGAATTTTTTTGTTACTGTATTCCAAGCTAAACCATTTGAAATACCGATATTATCACGAAGTTTTGTTGGTGTTCCACCTCTTTGCCATCTATAAAAGTTACCAGTACGTGTCATTGTAAAAATATCTTCTGGTAATTTTGCAATCATAGTTCCACCAAAGAAACGACCATGTGGATCTGCTTTAGCATCATTTATACGATTTTTTTCAAGTCCTGATTCTTTATCAACTTCAAATAATGTATTCAGAACTTTACAATTCTCTGAACGTCCATCCCATTCAAGAACAGCAACACGACGCATTAAACCAACAGCAAAACGATTCGGTTGCAATTCAATGGGTGTTATAAAACCAACATAAGTTTCATTTTCTAAAATTCAATTATAAAATTAATAAATAAAATTTTATTAAAAATAATTTATTAGAATTAATTTTCTTTTTGAACCTATTTTAGTTTGATATGTTTTATCTTCATTATAATCGTAGCGGTACACAGTTGGACCATTAATATCAATGAAATATAAGCTTTGAGTTTCAACGTCCCAATGTGGACCTTCACCTAAATCAGCAATTGAATTTGGAATTGGTTGAACTGTTGGCATCTATATGGGATTATGAAATAAATTTGAAAACAATTTAAAATTTCTGTACAAATTTAATATTGTTCAAAGCATAAGCTGAAAACTCTTTAACTCAAACTATTTAAATCACATAAATTTTATTATAAACTGTATAAAAATAAAAATTCAATTAAAATATTGCAATTTCTAAATAATAAACTAGTGTTTTTTTATTTAACATTCGTGATTAATTTGATTTATTGTAATTAAACTAAGCGTTTAATCTCAACATTTTAAATATATTAACTTTTTCGAAAAATATTAATTATTATATAAATTAAAATAGAATTGAATAAATTAATTAATCTTTTTATATTCAGTAAAATTTTATAATATTCTTAATCTTTTACCTTGTTTTGTTCTGTGTTTATTTCCTTCTCATGACTTTTCTCACCAACTTTGTTAGCTTTGACATTAACATTTGTGCAATTCAATAAAAATAAAATTATTAAAGCAGAAAATTTTACCGGACTTGAACACTTCATGTTGACTGATCAAGGAAATTATAAGAACTGAATTATATATATACCATGTCGTAATAATTATAATACAAAACCTGAGTTGCAATTAATGAGTGATATTATTCAATTAAAATATAAAATAGTTGTCCAACAAAATTTTAAGGTTAGTTATACAAGTCAATTTTGAACAATTGTCATATATATTCCCTTGATGTTGTCTTATTACAAAAATTTGATATTTTTCTAATGTTTCAAAGATTTGCCTTTAACTACGATGTGTAAAAAAGAGAGTGTTTGTTTTACGAGAATTTCATCAATCCAATGAAATGTCAATCAAATCAAACAAATTCAATGAACAATGTTGGATGTGTTGGATGTGTAAACGCAGACTAAATATAATTGAACAACATTTGTTAGTTATTGTTTTAAGGATTTGTTATATATTTGATAGTAAAGTTGCCTTATTTAAAATCGCTGTTAATCATAAAAATTAAAGAAGTAAATAATTATAGAACGCCTGAAACATTCCTTAAAAGTAACTATTTAACGTCTAATTAGTTGGAAAATCTTCAGCATTAGAATAAAATGATTTGTTAATTGTATAAATTTTGCTGAAAAGAATAATTATAAAAGCGAATTATGAAAGAAAACGCAGAGCTATAATGTTATTTTATTTTTTATTAATATATTTTAAAATCGCATTCAACAAGTATTTAAGAATTCCGAAAAATTGTAGAGAAAGGGAAACTAAATTACTATGATGGCTAAGTTATCTCGTATCTAAAAACTTAAAAAGCAATTTTATATCATTTTAAAATACTCCGGCATAACAAAAGTTTTTCTATCTTTATTTATCATAATATTCTTTAGTTTTGTTTCTTTTAAAGTTGAACTTGAATATTGTAAGTTTGGATTGAGTTAAGATATGAAAAAAAGCTCCGGTAGCTTGCAACATTGAACTCAATATTTATTGTGGTTTTTGTTTCTTATAAATTACCTGCGAAAAAGGTTTAATTGGAATATTTAGTAGAAACGGTGTAACGCTAATTACGTCTAAATTTGTAATGTACGGAATGTAACTTTGTAATAAATTGTTAAAATTGTTGTTAATTATCAGGTATTTTTAGCCATTGAAAATTTAATTATTGCCACTTTTTTTTAAATTAAAGGAAAATTAGGCCACCTGTTAAGTAAAGCACGTGATAATAGATTCATGAAATTTCATAAATCATTGAGCACAAATTGAAAAAAATTAATATTTAAGAATTAAGCTTAAGAAATTTTTTTTAGAAGCTTAAGAAATTTTTTTGTTTTTCTTTTTTTGTTACATTTAAATTTTAAACAGCAAGACGTTAAGTCAAGCCCTTTCTGAGTGGCATGTGAATAATCATATAAATGGATTTTTTTGGAATACTTTTACAAATTTTAAATAACAAGAATGTTAAATTTTCTTTTAAAACGAAAAATAATTTATGTCTTTAATTTCCAAATTAAATAAAGTTGGAAAAATTTATTGCTAGAAATTTTATCAAATTGGAATTGAATACTGAAACAAACGCTTATCCTAAAAGTATGCAAACTATTATTAAATACTGAAATGTTTCATTTCCGATGTTTCCGTTTTCAAGTACAATTTGGTTTAAGTTTTTTCTTTTTATTTAAATTCTTCTCTTAATATTTATGTATTTTTAAAAACCAAGTAAATAAGAGTTTTCTGTTGTTTTTTAAAATTTAGTTAAATTTATAATAAAAACAAATGTTCTATTCAATATTTAATTATAATGCAGAATCAGCGAAAATTTTTGCAAATGCGATCAAATGTTGCAATATATGTTTTTCACTTATAATTCTATGTATACGAGTTGTATATTTTCCCGCTTATTATAGTTTCTGTAAAAGTACGATGTATTTTACATGGTGTATGTCAGCAGTTTGAAAATTCTCAGTACATATATTATTTTTGCATTTACAATTTAAAATTTGTTATATTTTATTTATGTTTTGTTGAAATTAAAATGAAATTATGTATAGATTTAGGGCAACGGTCTAAACGCATTAACATCAATTTAACATTTAAAAATACAAAGCTGTTTTACTGAATTAATCAAGTTAACATGTATACATACACTACCGAAATTGCCACATGGCTTACCGGATCGGAATCGAATTTCGAATTCCGAGCATGGGGTGTCGAAAATATTTTTATTGTTTTTAACATTTTATACAAATGACAAGCGTAATGCCGCACGGTTCAATTTATTTTCATTACCGCATACCACATCTCGAGTCCATTTGGACCGACCCACTTAATCACTTTCCTACTATTCTTTTTTATATCATGTATTTCATTACACTTTTTACTTGATTCATGTCACTTACTGTAACTGTAATCATTAATTATTAAATAAAATTAATTTGTTTTAGTAAAAGTCTACTGACTAACAACTAGTAAAAATTTGAATATCTTTTGTAATTTTTAAGAAACAAAAAACCAAGTGAATCATAAACAGTCTCATTCTGATAAATATTTAAATACTTGAAGTACCATCTATAAATCTATGTACAACAACGTATTTATATCATATATAACATTATACCAACGGCACATGATACATATATACGTATGTATCATGTGCTGCTAGTATAAATATTATAAATATTGCATTCTACGTATGAGTGTACATTTATGGTCTAAGCAAATTAAAGCTTTATATTAAATTTATCAGTTGATTAGAGTTAAATATATGGGCTTATGGATGGCTCTATTAAATTATTACACTGAAATTACCCACGATTGAATTGAATGTGAGAATAATTTAATCTTGATATATGGCATAAGTACAATATAGTTTATTTAGTTGAATAAAAAGATTCTTTAATTTTTTTAAATTAGTAAATTACAGAGAACTTTAAAATATCATAAACATGACAGATTTCTTTCTATTATTAAATTCTTTCAATAAATGGGTGATGAGACGTTTTGTTTTACTTGTCAAAGTTAAAAAAAAATGTTGTTTATTATGTAATAGGTCTCCATAAAAAATACTCATAAGTTTGTCTTTTTTTTTCTTTCTTGATTATAGTCAGGTGAAGAATACAAATTTTAATTAATGACATACTCTTGTTATTTTTATGAGTACAAGCTTAATTAAAGTTATTGGAAATTATTTTTTACTTTTTCTGATTCTAGGTATGAGACACTAGAATTTTAATTGAATATCATGCGGTTGTATAGCCTTATTTAAATCAGTGTTCTGATATTTTTTAGAGTGTACACATATGTGTTAACTCTTTAGTGACTACGGGCTGAAAACAACGTCTTAATGATATTATTTAACATTTGGGCAATAATAAAACATTTTTATAATTTAATTTTTTAAATAATAGCATTATTAGACATATTTTAAGAGAATGTGTCAACTTATTCTAGGAAAACTTGTGAGAAAATTTCATTTAAAATAATGTTTCTGTGTTTCATTAATGCATTGTGATTAATGCAGCAGATTTTTTTCTTATCAGTTTTAATTCCATGCATATTATGTCTATATATTTATGCATATACTTACATATAAGCGACTATTAGTATAGTATTGCTAATAATAAAATAATAACAATAAAAAAAAAGGTCATTCGGCAGACGTTTTCTGTCATTAAATATGGTTGCAAAATAAAAATAAATATTAAAATACTCGTATTATTTATAACGCATTTACGTTTTTCGTATGGCTTTAGTGGTTTTACTCGTAATATAGTCTGTGATTGTCAATAATTTCTCTCTTTTTATGTTTTATTTAATTGTATTTAGAAAATAAATCTTTGGAACCGTTGATATTTTTAATTAAATATTGGATTACATTACGTGACACAAAATATTACAATTGTAAAGTAATTGTGTTAAAGATTTATTTTAGATATTTGGTTTTTATTTTTAACTTTCTAATTTTCATAAAACGTAAGGAAATTTTATAATTAAAAAAGAAAATATAGTATAAAGAAAATACCGTATATGAAAAACTCGCAATATTGCTGATAAAAATAAGAAAATTTAAGGAAAATATCATCTTACAAATGTGGAAAGTTGATTTTGATATTCAAAAGTGTTATTAAGAGACATACAGACGTGCTGATATTCATAAGATATAAAGATGTCTTCTTATTAGATTATGAAAGAATTTTCACTTTCAACTTGAAATAAAATGGAATAAAATAAAAAAAAGTATTTCTATTAACTCTTATAGGTTTCTTTCCATACTTTCATCGCTCGGTACACATTTCATGTTACAACATTGTGGTTGAGGTATACTAAATGTCATTTTATCACAAAAAAGAGATTAAATAACAGTTTGTATATATATATGTGATTTTTACCAAAATTGAAAAAACTCCTCCACTATTTTATTGTAGTCAAGAGTTTTCTAAATAAAACGGGTACCCAGCTCCCTTCCTGACAAGAATACGGCGTACTGTGTTTTAGGCGCAAAACTTAAATTAGGCTCAAATAAAAAAACAATACTCGTAAGTCATTTGAAAAATTTAAGAAAATATTGTCAATTTCTTTTCTAAATAAATTGTGAGTTACAAGAGATAAGACGTGAGAAACCATTTTACCATCATAGAGAACACTTTTGTACACAGTAATTGCATATTATCTGCAAGTTCATGTTAAAATAAAGCTAGACATAATATACATACATACACATGTATGCATAATGTCATATCTATTTTCGAATTAACATAATATTTTCTGGTTGTTCATATATATACGTTCTGAACGTATTATATGTGTAATATTTTTAAATTTATGTGTAAGCAATTTTATTGCCAGAATTTTAATAGTAAAATTATTTGGATTACATCCAAAATGCATTAAGACGGTATTAATATTCAATTACTCTAATTTTTTTTATGCTTTTTTTACTGATTGAATTGGAAGTACTTTTAGTTCACGAGTGTTCATGAGTGTACATGTAAGCTACTAGCTGGGCAATTTTATCTCATGTGATTCCCAAACGTTTTCATCTTCCAACAACAGTTTTTCTTTTCTTTCTGTATTAAAACTTACATCCAGATAGTAGCGATAAAGTGACAGTAAATGAAAGTAATCATTTGACAGATGCAGAAAGTTATGTATTTGAAAACGATTACTGCATGACAGTAGCACATTAACATCATATACTTGTGACATCTATTGTGTGAAAAACTAAAAACTTTTTTATTTCCCTCTTTCGCCCTCCATCAATCTCTCTCTTTCTCTCTCTCTCTCTCTCTGTAAATAAAATTAAATAATGACCCTGGTAGCATTGTTTTATAAAAAAAAATACTAGAACCAAACTAGCAATGGGTGCCCCCAAAATCAAAAATTAAAACAATTTTTATGTTGTTTTTTTTTTTTTCGTTTTTTATTTGAAAAAAGAAAAAAAAATTTTTTCTCATCTCTTTATTTTAATTTCAAATTTCCGCGCTTTATATACTTTTAGTTTTGTTTTTTTATTTCGCGTTTTTGCATTTTTGATCATTTTAATATTATATTTATGGTTTTATATATTTTATTTATTTCTGTTATGTATATATTTATTATGTATTATTTAAGCTTATACTATTAAGTATATTATGTACAAGTTCAGATTCTGTAGAACTTTGAATGACACTTCCGCTTTTTAGAATTTTTCTTTGTATTTTTCTTGTTTGTTTTTTTTTTTTGTAATTTTTATTATTTTTGTGTATTTTCTATATTATAATAATATTATTTAATTTTTTTATACAAAATAATAATAAAAATTAACAAAAAAAAAAAAATAAATAACAGAAAAATACCAAGTGTATATGTGTGTGTTATGTTTTTTGTATTTGTATATAAGTTTTTGTGTATCTGAACTAAATAATATTATATTTTGTCAATTGAAAAGTACAAAAAGAAAAGTAAGTAAAATAGAAAGGAGAGTAAAAAGACACGAGTAAATTATTAATTTTTTTTTTTTGATAAATGCATAATATAAAAAGCAAAAAGAGGGAAAATAAAAAGGGATTTTTATCCCAATTTTGAAATATAATATGGGAATTTTAATAAAAATATCCAAGAAATTTACGATATAGAGCAATAATTTTGCACAGAATTTTATATTTTTTTTGTTTTTTTCTTTTTTTAATATTTACTATAAAATATGTTTTTTTTTTACGTTTAACTAATCTTAATTTTTTTTTTTTATTTAAATAACTTAATTTCCATTTGACATACATTTAATTTTTTTTTTAATAATATTTTTTTTTTATTTTTTTTTATTTTTCTGTATTTTCTCCCATAAATTTCTTACATTTGGTATTAATTTTTTAATTTTTATTTTATATATATATATAAACTTTACTGTTAAGTGAAAAACACTAACATATATATATATATATATATATAAATCTTAATATTTATTGTCGTTATCTATAAATATTATAATATATTCTATAAATTATATTATAATATTTACAAAAAAAAAATTTTATTAATTAATAAATGAGTTTTATATAATATAATTTAATAATCATTTTATTTATTTATTTATTAATTTTTTCATTTGATTCGTAACATATAAGTAAATCTCGTAAAAATAAAATGTTTTGAGTGTTTACTGTATATATAATGTTTGTCTGTTATGTGTGTGTATTATGTATAATATATTTATGAATAAATTTTGTATTTGTTGTGTGTTTTTTAATAATATATTGTGTTTTTGTTTTTTAAATTCTAATATACATTACAGATTTTTTGTTATAATGTATTTATATACGAAAATGAGTTGAAATCTAAATATAAATATTTGTGACAATTTTATTAATTTGTATAAGAGTCAATTTTATGTTTATAATCATTTATATATACAATAATTAATATATGCAAGAAAGAGACACACAAACAAAATACTTAATAATATTTTAAAATAATTCTATATTTCTCTATATTTTAAAGAATTTTTAATTACCTTAAACAAATCAAAAATAGAATTTGTTTATAACAAAGGCAACTAGGCTTATTAAATAGATGTACCGAAATTTTTTTGTTTTAAAATAAAGAAATATAATTAAATATCAAATGCAGCTCAATATAATAAATTTTTTGCAATGCAATTAATAAAAGAAACATTATCGATGGTATCTTTAACAAAAAAAAAAAATATTTTTCATATGAAAATTTGCATTTATAAATATTTTAAATTTTTTTCGTTTAAAAATAAAATTAATTAATTTTTAATGGAATAATGTTACGAGTATATATGTAATATTGTGATTATATATATAAATATGAATATTAATTGTATAAATATAATATTTGTATGTTTTAAAGACAATTTATGTCAAATGTTTAATAATAATAAAAATATAATAATAATTTTTTTTTGTTTTTGTTCAATTAAAAATTAAAAATTTAGTTTTAATATTTGTAAACATAAATTCGATTATTTTTATAATAATATGACAATAAAATCAAAAATTTACTTTATATATAATAAATAATTTAATTATTTACTTAAGAATTAAAAAAAAAGTCATGCAATATTTTAAATTCTTCTTATAATAAATAAATTTCATAAAATGTAAATTCTTTTTTTCCTCAAAAATTTTAAATAATATTTTTTTAATATATAAATGATTATTGGTAAATATAATAAATACATGCTCATATATAATATATTTTTTTTTAATATTTTAAATTAAATTCTTATTTAATGCGAACAATAATCATAAGTTGGTAAAAAATTTATTCGCAATTTTTAAAAAATAATTCAATAATTTTGCCATTTCTCTATATATTTGATGTTGTTTTTTTTTAATTTCGCAGAAAAGAAAAATGGCGTCATTAAAACAATAAAAAAAGGTTCAGAAATTTAAAAAAAAAATAATTATTAATCTATATAAATTATTATATTTATTATATAAAAATTAAATAATGCAAATTTATCATATAAAAAAAAAATAGTGCAAAAGATGCAACATTGATAATGTCAAAAAAATGTTTTGTGTGTCTATTACCAAATGTTTTAATTATTGTATAAATATATATATATAAATAAAAGTATATATTTAGAGTCAATTCGAAATTTAAAAATTTTCCTTTTGTAAATGCAATAAAGTTTCCTTTAATAACAGCGACTTGAAAATGTGATAATAAATTCAATGTTAAAAACTAACTGACAGTTGACATTAATATTTTTTTTGGCATTTTGTCTACATGTCAAAAATATGTCAAAGAATAAATATTTGAAGTTATTTATCTTGTAATTTTAATAATATTCTTTTTTATTCTAATTGAAAAATGAAATTTTGTTTTTTGATTTTATTTAACAATTATTTCACTGTTTTAATTTTGACATCAATTTTCTTCAGACTCAAAATCAAAAGCAAGTAATGCGTGCTATGAATTATTTTCAGGATTTTCCTGGAAAGCTCAAGTCGTCAATTGGTTAATTAAAAGGATCATTTGTTATTCGAATAAACCCAAAAGTTGTTTTGACATTGTAAATATTGACAATTTTCTTTGGTGTTCGATTTGTAAAATTGTTAAAAATTTTTTTTCATCACAAATTTTATGTTTTGATTTTTTTTTACCTTTACATTTAAACCTATAATTTCTTTCTCTTATTTTGGATTAAAATAGACGATGGTATTTTTATGTATGTAAATATGTAATTTTTGTTTTTATATATGATTTTTCGTTCCGTGACTAGGTTATCTATATATGTATATGTATATAAACTTGTTTCTTTAATTAATAATTTTATAATTGAAATTTTTAATATTTTCATAAATGTTGTATGTGGAGAAATGTATGCACCCAAAATTGTACTGTTATTTTATTCTTTTTTTCTTTTAAATTGTTTTTTTCCTTAATTTAATAACTTACAAAAAAATTTTTTTATTCTTATACACTTTTTGACTAATTTTCTATAATTTCAATATCGAATACATAATTTTTATAGCTTTGATTGTGGTTTTAAATAATAAATTAAATTGATATGCAGACGATAAAATAATTTCGGTTTCAAAATAAAATAATTTTTTTTTTGTTTCAAATTTTTTAATTTTTAATTATCGTAATTTTGGTTAACTATTTATTAATAACTGGGTGAGTATAATTAATTTTAAAGCAAAAAAAAAATATATATATAAATTCGTTTGTTTTCTTTTGTAATTACAATTAAGTCTAAAACAGAAAAGACAAAAAAAAAATGTAAGACTTATAATAAAATATTTTTTTTTTTTAAATTTTTTTTTCTTATAATTTTTTTTTGTTGTTAATTTTATTCTTTGAAATCTCCACCATTTGATGTACCAAGTTCTTCTAATTCGTGTGGATCGTGTGCATGATGTCGATCAATTTTTGATATATCATTTTTCGATAAGTGATTTACTAAAATTGTACCAAGGGAATCACACATAACATTTATTGTGGTACGGAATCGATCTAATAGCCAATCGACAGCAATAATTAATGATACATCTTTAGCTGGTAGGCCAACGGTATCTAATACCATGACCATTGTAACAAGACCAGCTTGTGGGATACCAGCTGCACCAATTGATGCAGCAGTGGCAGTGATACTAACAGCAACAATTGTACCAAATGAATAATATACTTTACGATATTGTGCAATAAATAATGCAGCAACGGCTTCATATAATGCAGTACCGTCCATATTAATTGTAGCACCAACTGGTATAACAAATCTTGTTACTCTCGGATCAATACCCATACCATCTAAACATTTAATTGTAACTGGCATTGTAGCTGAACTTGAACCGGTACCAAATGCTGTTGCTAAAACTTGTGATAATTTTGCAACAAAACGATATGGTAATTTTCTTGTACCCAAAAAGAATAGTACAGCAATTGTTCCAAAACCGTGTAAAAATAAACCTAACATAACCGTTAGGAAATACCATCCAAGTTGTTGTACAACCATACCTAAGGATTTCATTTCAAGAATTTTACCAGTGATTAAGAAACCAACACCGATTGGTGATAACCAAATAACCCATGATGTTATTATCATCATTGCATCACTTAAACACTCAAAGAAATCTTGTAATATTTTACCTTTTTCACGCATTCTTCCAATTGTTGTACCCAATACTATACTAAACATAACCAAACCTAAAACATTTGATCCTTCTTTTTGTTTACCTTTTATAACATACAATTCTAATGGTAAATTCGGATCTGTATTATTTTTAGGTAATGATAATTCAGTACGATATTGGTACATTGTTGTTTGTACAATATTGTCAGTAAACATATTACGTACTAGATCCATAAGGGTATCTGGTGTTAAAACTTTTGTATTTTTTTCAACATCTTCTGTTATTATTTCATCAATTAAATCTTTTTCACCAACTTTACCCGGTTTAATGGCAGTAACTAACATAATACCCAGTATAACAGCACATACGGTTGTTATAAAATAATAAACAATTGCTCTGGTCGCAATTTTACCGGACATACTTAGATCCAATGAACCGATAGCGCTTGTTATCGATGATACCAATAATGGTACAATTAAACATTTTAGCATACGTAAAAATAGTTCGCCAGGAAACGACACATACATAATTTCTCTGGGCGTCCATGGTCCCGTATTATTTTTTAATAATAAACCAACTGAACCACCAACTAAGACGCCCAATATTGTAAATACAGTCAAGCCATTCTCTTTAACAAAACTTTTCGTTACATTAGATCGAGGCATTTGACTATTTGTCAGATTATTTCTCCACCTTGTTGTAACCCTGGAAAATAGAAATCGTAAATTGAAACGATATATCTTTTGTAATATTATGGATTTTTTGCATATTGTTTTATTTTTTCAACAATTTAGAAAGTAAAATATACATAAATGTAGTTAATGCATGCTTATTTTGTTGAAAAATAAGTTTAAGAAAATTAAAAACATTTTGTGAAGTGGAGTTTAGAGAATTGGCTATTTAATGTAACTTCTGAAAATAATAACTGTATTGAAATTCAGATTCAATTTTGGAAATTATTTAAATATTCGCAAAAATTAAAAGTTGTGAAAAGTTAAACGAAAAAAAAAACAAGTTCAGCTTTATATACAAATGAAATATAAATAAAATGTACACGAAATAGAATTTCTAAAATAAATTCATGCAGAAGAATAATTTAAAAAAATAAGAAACTCTCGTTATTCGAAAAATTTTATAAAATCTAATAACTATTGTATAATTAATATTTGGTCCACAATTTATGACAATTTTTAAACATTTTTACAAAACATAATTTCGGAGATTCTTTTATTGTAAATCGCGTTTCATAAGGTCTAGGCTCAACAAAATACTCATTTGCTGTAAAGGGTTAAATCGCTTGTTTAATCAGGGGCAGATAGCATTTTTATATGGTTAACATCATGACATCATAGATTCCAAGTTTTCATCCAACATCAGTTAAAACAGCCTTTTACTTTATCCATTAATATGTCGTAGGAAAGATTAATCAATAAAAAAGGAAGTTCGACAAAAAATAAACTAATAGCATTAAAATTAAAGACTCACATACGAGGAACCGAAAAGTTGAGTAGTTGAGTTTCATTAACTTGGCAACAAGATCATAAATTTGTTTAATTAATGGGAATAGCTCTGGATTGTAGACGTATTGGAATGACCCACAACCCCTTTAGCGCTTTAAATACAAATAAAAGCTGCTGTAAATGGTACGAGTATATACTAGTTAGAAGCAAAACAAGATTGGAATAATGTAAGTTGACTGCGCTATACCTTATAGGGAGGCTAAACATATTTTTAAAATTTTGTTTTGGGAGATTTGCAGCTCATCAACTAACATAAAATTAGTGTTCATACTATTTACATTTTCTCCTACTTTTTAATGATTTATTAGTTTAATTGTTGTTACTGCATTTTAAAAATAGTAAATAAAATTTGATTTTTAATTGACAAATACATAAACATTTATAAATGTTATATATACATATATATGTATATGTAGTGACTAGCCAGAATTCTATATAATCATTCTATTTCTGGCAGAAATGAATATTTTACAATATAAACACAACAAGAAAGTCGATAAAACAGAACAGATAATCAAAAACCAACAAATTAAAATAAAATCATAGTTTCATTAATTTCATTTTTTTACAGCAATATTCAATGAAACTAAAATTATTTTAGCAAAAGAATTCACCAACAATAATAAAATGTGATATAAAAATATTATAGTAAATTTAAAAATTATGAATGAATTTTTTATTTTAATGGAAAGGATACATAATTTAATGAAAATGCATTGGACTTTTGAACTTATCATATGTGTATATGTTTGTATATACACAGAAATTTATATATGAATACATTCATACCAATGGTCGATCGTTAAGTCTATTTTGAACTTAAAACTTATACAAACAAAAATTACATCAGTCGGAAATATTTCATTAAAAATGCTTTTATTTTATAAATAATAATAATTTATTAACAAATTTTTTTCTAAAATAAAACAAAGAATCAGAACAAAAAAAAAAAATACCAAAGAGTAAATTGAATTCAACTATGTACTCGAAATTCTAAATCAAATTTTATTTTTAAAGGTAGGGTGGCAAATTATTATGTAAAAATATATATATATATACATATATATATTCATTTAAATATACTTTTTTATTTCAATTTAATTTAACTAAAATATGTCTGCACGGAAATGAAAATGGTACTATGTAAGCGATAAACTGATCATTAACTGGGGAGTTTTATAATACAGTCGTCGGACGCTCATATAAGCAACACGCTTATAAAGAAAACTCGCTTAAATGAAATCAGAAAAATATACCCATTTTTTTTAATATTCATTTATATGTGAATTTACACGTGTATATGCAACGCGGGTAATTGCAAAACTCAGTTGAAACCAAATATTTCTAAAGTCACAAAATTAAAATCTCTTGTATATTTATGTGCAAATATTTTTAGATCAAAAAAAAATTTTCATTTAATTTTTCTATTTTTGGTATCACTTAAAATTTTTATGTCAAAGTGGCATATTATTGTGAACTGATAAGATTTTTAGATGTCAAATTATGTTTCAAGTGGTTTTCATGTGTACTACATTGCGAGTTTTGAATAAAAACAATATATGTACGATTTGGGATAAGTACACATTAATTACTTATATGCGAATTCTTAATAAATGAAAAGCTCAATTAAATGCAACGAATTTTCGTAAGCATATACCCATGCTCTACTGCAATATACATATACATAGTGAAAAACACAGGTATGTAAGTACAATATGTAATGTCTGAACAATTTATATGTAATGTATAGGTGTAAAATCTTAATTTTTTTTATGTAAGAAAAATCAAAAGAAATTTTACAAAATTAATAAAAATTTAAAATTCGAGACACCTTGTTTTCTTATATGTAATTCGTACAATTAATTGCTCCATTCTGAAAGTATGAAAAAACAATGTTTTTCAACAAATTTCAACAAATTGATTTAATGTAAGATTCCAATGATATTAAGATAATATTTTCAATTTTACATATAAAATTTAATTAAATGCATATTGTGATCGATATTCAGTATACGAGTATCAGACATTTTTGCTGAAATCTGCGATATAATCACAAAATTTAAATTATGAGTTTAGGAAATTTAAGAATTTTAGGAAATTAGGAAGCATTTAACTTCAAATTTAAACTAAATTATCATTGAAAAATAGGAGAAAATAATAGAATTTAACACATATTTTAAAATTATTAATTCAAAATATACAAATAGTTAAGTAAAATTTATGAAATTCCTATTCATTTCAAAAATTAAAAAAAATGTATAAAATTCTACTTGTACTCGGAACAAAGTCCATTTATTTTATTATTCCAATTCCAGTAAAATTTATTTCTTTGGTTTTCTTATATTTTAAGATCACGTTAATTATTTCACTAAATTAATAATTTATTTCCAGAAAAAAAATTTTTAAAAAATTTCACACATCCTCAGGTTAAGAAATCCCAATAGAAATTTTATTTAACTACAAAATATTTTCAATATTAATTTTTTAATTCTTTTAACAGTTTCTCGATTGAATTTATTTTTCAATCGCGTGCAAATTTACTCATCTAAAGCTTTAATATAAAAAATTTCAATATTATTCAGAAGTATTTTTAATTTCTTACAAATTAATTATTGCAAAAACAATTGCATTCACATTGGTACGTTTTTCAATCCGTTTTATAAAATTTCAAAATTTTTTCTAAAAAATAATTCTGTGAACAAAACTTTTTTGGTACAAAAAAAAATAACTTGTTTATATTAAGCAACTGTCTTTAAATTCAGTTTTAGACAAAATCACTTTATTTTAAAGAATTTTGTGGGAATGTGTCGTGTCCTTTCTTGTTTCAAAATTTACACATTGGCTTTAATTTTTCATGATTCCATTTGGTGTAATCCTTTATTAATTTGTTGATTGGAGTAAAATTTTCATATTTTTAGCTTTAGTGCACATAATTTTAATACTTTTTTGTAAAATACTTAATATTGCAATTTATTGCATATTTTAAAATTAATTTTTTTTTTTATAAATTTTGGTGAATGGAAGAAAAAAAAAATTCTACCTTCCTTAAATTTTTTTGATTTATTAAAGTTTTTTAAATGCATTCACGTTTCCCGTTATTATGCTTTTAATTTTTATAAACTAGGTTTACACTTCGAGATCCGAAAATATACTACCGTTGCCATATTTTATGACATGAAATCATCTATTTTTTCAAACGAAAATTTCAAATCAAAATGAATTCGGTTGTCTATTCGCAGTCAATAATATGTGAATCACAAACTATAAATGTATGTACATACAATCCTAAATTAAATTCATTAAATAGAACAATATATTAATATCTAAATTAATATAAATATGTTTGTACATGATCTGTTATCTATGTATGCAAATTTGTATAGCATGTATATTATGCAAGTATACATGTATTTGCCAGTATTTATCTAAGAATTCATTTGCACAAAAATATTATCATAAATGAGGGCCCTAAAATTATTAATTTATATACTTTACATACTCGTATATATACTTATTATATATAAAATTAAAAACAAAGAAATAGGTCAATTTTTTATTCGTTTAGTATGTATGATTAAAAATTATATAGTCATTCCGATTTTGAACGATGAATTTTTGTTAGCAACTTTTTAGTTACGTTTCCCATATTTTCATATACCGAAATTAGCCGAATGTTTAAGTAGTCGATCTTATATAGTACTATATGTATGTATATCATTTTAAAATAAAGCAAAGCTTATTCATACATTTTTAATATTAAGAAGTGTGAATAATATGAAAATTTAGATCGACTTGTAATGGAATGATACAGCAGATAGTTTTATGGGATGGGGATTCAAATAAAGTAAGTTACATTGCTATATGTTACTGACATATGTGTGTGCATGTATATCATCAGAAAAGTTGTACAACAGTCATGTTTATGATTGCTTGTCATGTATGTAAATATTTTCGATTTCATTCTATTTTTTTTCTATTTTTTGATTTTATTATAATAAATTCCATTTTGACAAGTTTTGTACCTTAATAATTTTCTCATGTACTGAGTGTATTATTTTTAAACAATTTTTTATAATAACAATAGTTATAAATTTTTTAATATAATAATGTACAATATATACATATTATGTATCTTTATATAAATGTATGCATATGAATGTAAAATTACGTAAATGAATTCTTATTATGCATCTATATACTTACATTTATATATATATAAATATATATATCACAATAAATCACCTATAGTATTACTATAAAATTGTATGTCATGTAGAAACTTAACTGATTCTCACTCATATATTGAGTATATCTGAATTGAAAGTTTCCGTGATTTGTATATAATCTGATATTAGCCTCTTTTGAAATTGTTTATAGTAAAATAAAATTTGTATGTATATGCATATTCATATAATATTCTATATAAGTATATACATAGATCTGTACGTATAAAATATAAATTATTTTATAATTTTATTGTCAATGAAAACAATTGAGTTGCAGAAAATGTAAATATTATGTATGTATGTGTTTATACATCTATAAATACATACATATAATATTTATAGTCAATCTACCACAAATATTGAGTGATTTACTATTTCCAGTCGACTTCAATTCAATTTTTATTAAATTTAATTAAATGAATGGCAAGTAAAATACATCATATAACGTAATTGCATGTATGTACAGTTAAATGATTTAAATTTAATAATAATCAAACTTTTTTTTAATAACTACTTAATTTGTTTTTTAAAAGTTTAATTAATGTCTGTGATTTTATTTAATATAAACATACTAAAATGAATAGTGTCAATTTGATTTTAATAGCAATTAAAATGGTATAACTGAATGAGTAATAGTTATATGATTTAACACTTGTTTTTCAAAATTTCAACAGATTGTCAATAAACAAATTAATTTTAGCACTTTTCCAAAAGAAATTGGAAAAGTGCTTATTATAGTGTCACTCTATTCGTTCGTGTGTCTGTTTACATGATTACCAAACTTGTACACCCTTTAAGCTTAAGTTTCAGGAAGATGATATTATAAATACAAATAAATGTGGACTGGAAATTTTTTGGTAAAAGAACACTTTTATTTATCTCCTCCCATCTCCAAAACCTGCCATTTTTACTACTGGCTTCTTCTACTGCGAAAAAGCATAGTCAAACATTACAGTTTTACCTATTTAAATTTTCGACACCTTGTATTTCTGAACAAAGAGGTAACGACAAATTTCTAGTTATCAAAAGATATAATTATATCTTTATTGACTTACACAATTAACAATATAACTCGATTGCATTGTGTTAACGTTACTTTAAATTTTTTTTTCTCATCCTGGTGGTATGCAATTATTTGGTATATTAATGAAAGTAATTTTTTTTACTTTCACTTGTTTTCAAGGAAAAAGTGCTGCTTTAAAAACTATTAGTCCGAATTTATTTGGTAACATTTCGGTTTTTACACGTTCAATAATAAAATTCTTAAACAGTCTGTTATGCAATGAAATCAATTTATTTAAGTGAATAAAACGGTCGAAATCATACTGTCAAGTCGAAGTGAAATTATTGAACTGCTTAAATATAAAAGTTGGCTAATTGAGTTACTTTTACAAATTTCATCTCTGAACTTAAATTTACACTTACACAATTCATAGAAATTCTGTATATTTCTCAATAATTCATGAACTATAAAAATTTCTTAACCAAAAAATACTAACAAAAGGGTTATTTAAGTTTATTATTACTTTGTAAATAAAGCTTGAACAAACGATTACATCATCATCAAAAAATGTTCTAAAAGTTTCTATAATGTAGTTTATACTCGTACTTTACTCTTTTCTTATGCCGCAATTGACTGATAAAGTGTGATTTTAATTCACTACCTTCACTATAAAAGTTTATGTACATAAAAAAATTAAATAAAAATAAAAACATTTCTTATTTTTCTCTAAGGTATAAGTATATTTATAAGATCTCATTTTATGATAAGAGTATCTTAAATTGAGTTTTAAATAAAGCAAAAAAAATTATTTAAAAAAACAGTAATAAAAAATTTCTATTTGGTTTACAAATTTGAAAGTAATCCCATTTATTTAAGCTGTGTGAAAACCCGCTTGAAAGCTTCCTGTACCAGCAGTGAATAAATGAAACAATCATTTGTTAGGTTTAATCGAATACAAAATTTGATCAAAGTGACTGATAAGCTGTACATATGTAGATATATTTATAAAGCATAAAGTCACTCGGTCAGCTCATTAATATTCGATTAAAATTTCAATTTTAATTAAATTTTCTTTCACATAATTCACTGTTGCACCAGTAGCGCGGAAAATCCACTTGACATAGAAGTGTATTTATTTGTTCCCTACAAAATTCATACAATTGATTGTTGAATAACAACGAAACTAGTCAATCTTATCAAATTATTGTTAAATATTTACTTATGTAGTATTTATTTATTAGAAGCAAACATTGATAATCAAGCAGAATTTTGTGTATACAAGATAACGAACAGGCACATTTTTTAAATTTTTATCACTTGTACTGATCAGGTTGTACTTTTATATTTACCTAAAAGTAAGTAAATAATTATGTATCTGAACTTATCTTCAACTGCAGACCTACTTGTCGCGTGACATTATTATGGGTTATATCGAAAACTAATAATGAATTACAGAATTCAAGAAACTATTTTTAATGGTCATAAAAATTAATGAGATGAATTTGATTTTAATAAACAATCTATTATACATGGATTTTTATATGCAAAAAAAAAACGTAAGAAAAATCTAAAAAAATTTTTACTTCTTTAAATTAAAATTTTTGTCACATTGTCAACAAATTATTATTCCAAAGAATTCTCCTTATTAACTATACTTTAGAGAACATTGCTGTTATTTATGATTGTAAAACATAGTTTAAGTTTTCTTCATTTGGAATGAAATTAAATTAAAAAATGTTGTTGCTTATAAAGAAAGTCTTATTAATTAAAATACTTAATAATAGTGACTAAGATAGGCTGCATTATAAGAGCAATCATTCATTTTTAGTTATCATATTATGTGTGAAATAAAGTTTGTAGATAAAATATGAATATTAAACTTAGCGTTGTAGAAATTGGGCATAATTATGTAACCGTAAATTGAAAGTAAATTAATAAATTTTTGGTTTCGTTTTTTTTTGACACCGATTAGAATAGAACGCAATATATTATTTACTTTATGGGGGGGGGAATACTTTTATTTACATCAGCTACCGATTTAAATTGCAGCTTTGAATAATATTGAACGAGCTTTTAGTGATACTTCGGATGTGTGAAAAAAATAAGATTCAACTCTAAGAATAAACCATTTAAAACGTTGGTTACTTATATAACAAACTTTAAATTTTCAAAATAATTTTCAATGTCAATGCACTTATAAGTAAAACAATAGATTTTTTTACTTAACAATTAAATTCCACTAGTTTTACTTTAAATTATGTAATCCAATAGAATTTTACAATTTTCAATCATAACAAATTAATTAATTTGTTAACCACATTTGGAGACAATTTTTATTGTAATCTGGCCATCAAAAATAAGATATTTAAAATATTTTGACAGGAAACTTTTACAATCTAACCACAAAATTGTTGGATTAATTTTTTTTTTAATTAACTGCACATTATTTCAAATTTTCACAATTAATAATAAATTAAAAATTTCAAGATCATTAAATGGTATTTTTTTTTAAATTTTAATTCACAATACTTGGTTTATCGTAAAATTGCGGGCGGCTATACTACAAAAATATTTTGGTAATAAAAAATTAAAAATCTATTGAAAAAACCTATAAAAATTGTTTGTTTATATTCTCAAGTGTGCGGTTGGAGATTTTCAATAATAAAACACCGAAATTAATTACTATTTCCATTTTCCACTTCATCAAGATAATTGGTGTTTATCTATGAGCACGTGTTTTTAATAATAAATTTTAAGAAAAATCAAGTTCAAATAAATGGAAA